AATTATCCTCAATCTGTGGTGTGCTTCGTCTCCGGCGGTCAGACCTGGTACATACCTCGTCCAAGTTTGAAATTTCATTTGAATTCGGTAACAAGAATGTAGCCTTCGTCAGTAATTTATAAATTTTGTATAAACCCCAGATTTCATGTTTCTATACAACATACATATGTGAAGTTGCTTGCTAGTAAATCCCTGTCAACGAGCCCTAAGTGGCCTTCCTCATTTCCTAAGCAGTCGCTCTTTTTAAACAGAATTGTTTCTGGCAAAAACTTCTCCAGTGTGGTTCTAACATTTCCGGTCAATTTGTGTTGTTTGTTGTTTGAGTAATTGTATTTGTTTCTGCAGGGTTTGTTGTTTGATTATCGACCTTTTTTTTCTGCAAAAACTTCCCCAGGGTCTTCAAATTGTATGTTGTTTGATTATTTTAAGCAGAAGATTAGAGCTTGTGTTAAAGTAGTTAACCAAGATTTAATTGACGTCGTGAAATTAGAAATTGTTAGCAGTATGTTTACACAACAATTCCTGTTTGTACAAAAGATACATGGGCAAATAGTTGCTTTCATAGATTCATTCAGAATGTTCTTGAAAGAAAGTCTTGGGTCTTTATGAATTATCTGTAAATTTTGTTGATGAGATTGAGTGTATCTATTTTTTACCTTTCTGCAGAATTTGGTTTAATGTAAGTTAATCAGTGACAATTGTTTAAAAATAGGGAAAATATTGGCTAACAGTGAATTTAGTACCTTTCTTCATATGTAATTTAGTACCTTTCTTCACTGACAACTGTTGCAATATTGGTAAAGTGGCAGGTGTCGTTTGCTTGTTCTTGCTCGAAGATATTAGCACCAGGTATTTGTTTTGATGATTTCTAATTTTTTGCACTATATTTATATGTGCTTTGCTCAACGTTGGTGTTGTTGGTTATGTTGTGACTGAGTACCTTATTTTTCTGCTGCATTACTTAATGAAAGCTCATTTTATCTGGGGGTCTATGGAGGAAATGATAGTTTACAGTATTTGATTCAGTTTAGTTACTTGCAGGGTTGCCAACAATGTAGTAAATTGATCCGTTTACTTCATGCCAACAATGTAGTAAACTGTAACCGATTATTTTGTGAGTCTTACTATGTTTTCTGAAGAAATTCGAAATGTTTTTTGCAATTCAATCAGCCTGTGGTGTTCTGACATTTGAGATACACTTTAACACATATGTTTCTTACATGTTTGATGTGATTATAACTTCTGTGATTATAACTTTTGTACAATTTTGATGAGGTTCTAGATGTTCTTTACCAGCGTTTAAGAAACCCATTACGTAGTCTATACAAAGTGTGAATGAGGTTCTTGAATCTTGATCCACATTTGTAGATGGATACCAATGCAGAAGAATTAGCGGTTGTTGCAATATTGGAAGAGGTTATCAGTAGCGTTAACATCTTTTTGTTACTATCTATTTATTACTATATGAAATTCATCCGTCCTCGTCGAAGACGTCAACGTTCAAGCAGTGAGCACGTTCCTTCATTTCGATTTAGCGATAGACTCCCATATCAGGTCAATTACATGCGAAAGTTGGTCGACGTGAGCGACACAACTTGTCTCGAGAACCTCCGTATGGATCGTAACTGCTTTGGCCGCCTATGTTACCTTCTTGAAAATTCTGGCGGCCTTCGTCCATCCAGAAATGTTGCACCAAGCGAGCAAGTTGCAATTTTTTTGTCAGTCCTAGCTCATCATAAGAAAAATGTCACCTTAAAGCTTGATTTTGTAAGATCTGGTAGGACAATAAGCAAATACTTTAACCGGGTTCTTGATGCGGTGATGCGAGTTCACCGTATCCTAGCTGTGCAACCAAAGGCAGTTGAAGCTGATTGTGTTGATGAAAGGTGAAAATGGTTCAAGGTAACCAAGTACACGTTTCTTAACGTCTTACAATTTTGTTAATTCACTCCATACAAGTAATAACTTTTCATTAATTTATTTGATTAGGGATGTCTAGGAGCACTAGATGGTACCTACATTGACGTGCGAGTTCCTTCTATTGATAAGGCACGATATAGAAACCGTAAGGGTAGTGTATCTGTTAAT